AAAAAAAAAAAAGCGGGCACGCGTAGTATGAGTGAGGGGGCTGCAACCCTCCCGCTTTTTCCAGTAATGGGGTTTTTTTTCTGTTAAAAATGAAGTTGTAATTTACGCTGACCTTCACTTTCAGTATTTGTTTTCTTGTACTGTCAAAGTTTGCTGAATATTTTGGTTACTCAGTTACCTACCCCCTTGCTACTACCTTATGTGTATTTATTTTAATGTAAAAATAAGTGAAAAGACAATATGGCTTAATTTCAAAGGAAAATTACTTCAGTAAAATTCTTCATGCTTAATGTATTCCAATTTTTCGGAAGTACGTATGCCATGTACATCGTTTGGGTTGTATCGAAATATCACAATCGAGTACATGCACGTTTATGTTTTTCTAATGTAATTTGTTCCTATATAGATTTGCAAAATTTATCTGAGCATACAAAAATAGTTATTTACTTAATTTTAATGCTTTGTCCTTGAAAATACAAATAGGTTTGCGTTATATATCTGTTTGAAAATGGTGAAGAGAGAAAACATGCATGGGCGCTATAATGCTTTCCGTGCCTTACTTCTGGGGCTCGTTTCTCAAAAAGGCCTTAGTCCGGACTAAGTCAGTGACTTAACCCAAAAATCGGACTAAGTAGCGTTTCACAAAAAGGCGTAGACTTAGTCGAGACTAAAGTTAAGCTTAAATCTACGCCTGCTCATGAGTAGGCGTCAGTTCTTAGTCTGTACACAACTTGAAAAAAAGTAGCAAGTGTTTTGATCATAAAGAGATAAAAGAATAGTTATTTGGTACGTATACGATATAATACCTATTCATGTACATATATGATATGCTAAAATTCGTGAAATTTTTCAATTATTATTAGGTAAATAGAAAGGTAGTAAAAATTCATCAAGGATGCATACTTTATTCCGTAAAAAGGTTTGACGAGCTTGAAATATGTAAGTAAGAATTCTGAATTGTGAAACTGGGTAAGATATTAAGAAGTGCCCGTGTTAAGGAAAAAAAAACAGGCACGCGTAGTGGGGGGGGGGGGGCTCCAACCCTCCCGCTTTTTCAGTAATGTTTTCGGTTAAAAATTTCGTTGAAATTTATGCTGACCTACACTTTTAGTATTTGTTTTCTTGTATTGTCAAAGTTTGCTGAATATTTTGGTCACTCAATTACCTACCCCCCTTCCCCGTCTCCCATACTTAGTGGGTCTCTGATAGTTTTTAATTTTTCAAATGGATAATGTTTTGTGAAGAAAAAAACCCCATCTCCTTAAACAATACACCTTTAAAATATTTTTTGATAATAAGAAATATTCGGTAATTATGCCATCTATTAAGTTAATGCACTTTTACCTTAATTTCCCCTTTAATTAAATATGATTTATAGAACAGAAAAATATGAACTTGTAAAATGTTCCAGTAATTAATTATCTTGTCCGTAATACTGTTTTCCCCCCAAATTCAAAGTGTTAATTGTCACGGCGTTTAAGATGTGCAGATGGGTCTATCATTTTCTTTTAAAATAGGTACTTGTTTTTAATTAATTTTAAATCTATCGTATTTTACTCGGACGAATTTTGTATGAGTGTGTCTTTTAATTGATTTATCAGATTAACACTTTATATTACATGCATTTGAAAAGAAAGTGGTCAATAACGTGTTAAATTTTTTTTTTTTTAATTGTTAATGAGAAACAGAGTTTCAAATTTGCTGTCATTTAATGCATTATACTCATAAAACATATCAAGAAGAAATTTTGCTTAACTAAAAGTACTTATGAATATGAAGATTATGACTTGTTAATATCTTTAAATCTAGATAAAATCTTCAAGAAATATTCAGCATCTATAAAAGAAATATTATATGATCATATTCCTAATAGAAATTGAGACGGAATTACTAGATTTAAAAGAAAAAAATGGTGATGTTGAACTTTGTACCTTTCCCGATCTAAATAAATCTGATCCCGACTGGAAATGCATTAAATGAAAATGTTTCAGAAATTTATAAAAATACTATATTGCTTGCCTGTAATATGGATTAAAAGAAATTGATTAAAAACTAATTAAGCTTTTGCAAACTTTTATTGAGAATGCGTGTGCTAATGGAAATGTTGTATATGCGTGTTTTTACATGACTGTGTAAATTATCATATCGATAGCAATGTTATACTGTATGTCCAAAGTGTAATACATGTATTATAATTAGGGATGTCAACGAATAGTCGACTATTCGACTATCAGTCGAATGGACCGACGATCGAATAATGAAACGACATTCGAATATTATTATAATTAAATAAATGCAATAAATGAGTGATAACGAGATGGAATTCTCATCAGAAATTGAGAAACCACCTTTCTCAGAGACAGTCGATAAGGTTATTTTCCTCAACAAAAACGGTTGATTTTCCATGTACGTATAAAAAAGTAAAGTAGTTATAAGTGCTACACAGCTTCAAGATTATTAAATTCATGGAATTAATGTCAACTCAAAACGAAAGAATGCTGAAAAAACTATGTATGTTCATCTTAAAAATTAATGATGATGTCTGTCCTCCTTGATATATTTCCCCTCTTATATCATTTATTTATTTCCTCAATCTTCTGTCATGTTTTTGTTTTGTATACAAGTATGTACCTCTGACCAGTTTTGTATATAATATATTCACAATTCAAACATATTTATAAAATAGCAATTATTTTGGAACTTTCAGTATCAGAATTATGTATTTGAACCAGTGTTTAAATAAAATTCATAATTCTGTTTACTAAAAATGCATGATTTTTTAAGCTGACACATGCTTCTGTTTATTTGTCTCTTAAAAATAGTCTTAAAATCTTACTATCTTAAAAATTATGGCGACGTATATATTTTTTGCAATTATTATTTAATTTAAACTATGTTCAATGGAAATAAATGCAGTTTATCTACTTTGAACCATTAAAATTGTAAGGATGGAAATGCCTTACGGACTTTTTGATAGCCAGAGCAATCAATAATTGAATAAGCAGTATCTAACTGTTTAACAGTTTCATAGGCATCTGACTCGTGGATAGTGTAAGATTAACCCCCCCCCCCCCAATTTATTTCATAAGAAGTTTTAAAAAATATCGGCTGGCAATTTTCTAATGCTTGCTAAAATAAAAACTGACTGCATGTACAGACCGATTTATGAATTCGATTGACGGGGAAATCATATATTTTGGAGAATTAGGTGTCTGAATTCATTTCATTTAATCATGCTATCCACGCGTTGTACGTTGCATTAATGTTAATTTTTAAACAGATTTAAGTAAAAGGGTTTGGGGGTTATAAATACGTCATGTACCAGTGAAGTTTGAAATAAAATTTTAATATAAATGTTCCGAACATTCGACTACTAGTATCGTTCGAATAATGCAATCGAATAATCGACTAAGGAAAATACATATTTTGACATCCCTAATTATAATGCATGTACCAGCTTGAACGCCAAGAAATCTAATTCAGTTAGAATTGATAATTCTATTATGAAATTATAAATTTTCAAATCTCTTATCCACATTTTAGTGATACATGATTTCATAATTGTTAAATTTTCCACAGGTCCGTAGAACGCGGTGGGGCCAGGGGGCCCCGACCCTCCTCTTTTTCTGAGTGTAGCATTTTGCTATATTAAATTTTCCTTCAGATGCTGGTTCCCCCCCCCCCCCCCCGACCATACACACATACTGGCAAATTCCATAATTCCATGACTTGGGCAGTTGATATGCTTTTTGACTAGGCAAATTCACGACTTGGGTAGGTTTTTGACTTGGACAGTTCATGAAGTTTTTTTGGTCACATTAAATCAATTTGGGAAGTTGCCCCCCCCCCCCCCCCCCGCAACCCTCACTTTTTGATAGTTTAGTTTTTTGTTGTTTTTTTTTTTTTGGCGTGTCAGATTTTTTTTTTTTTTTGGGGGGGGGGGGGATCCCTCACTTTTGAAGCCGTTGCTACGAACCTGTTCCAGGCCTTTGTCACTGCCTTATGTGTATTTTTTTTAATGTGAAACATAAGTGAAAAGACAATATGGCTTATTTTCAAAGGAAAATTACTTCAGTAAAATTCTTCATGCTTAATTTATTCCAATTTTTCGCAAGTACAAATGCTACATGTATTTACATCGTTTGGGTGTTAATGTACGATTGTATATCGAAATATCACAATCGAGTACTTGCACGTTTATGTTTTTCAAATGTAATTTGTTCCTATATAGATTTTTTAAAATTTATCTGAGCATACAAAAATATTTATTTAATTCTAATGCGTTGATCTTGAAAATACAAATAGGTTTGCGTAATATATCTGTTTGAAAGATGGTGAAGACAGAAAACGCACACTCACGCTTTCCGTGTCTTTGTATTTAGGTTTAAGTTTGATATTAATTTGATCCGCCACATGAAATTGTAGTCTCTAATCCAAATAAAATACGATCTGCGCATGCTTAGTACTTAGCGAAGGGGTCTTAGTCTTAGGTCTAGTCTTACGCCGCTTTCTGAAACGCGATTAAGGCCCGTCTAAATTTTGGCGTAACTTACTTACCAGGGGGTAGTCGGACTAACTTAGGCCCAAATCTACGACTTTTTGAGAAGCGAGCCCCTGTATTTAGGTTTAAGTTTGATATTTATTTGATCCGCCGCATGTAATTATAGTCTCTAAACCAAATTAAATACTTTTTTGCGCATGCTTAGTACTTAGCGGAGAGGTCTTAGTCTTTGGCCTAGACTTACGCTGCTTTCTGAAACTCGATTTAAACCTGTCTAAATTTTGGCGTAACTTACTTAGTCGGACTAATTTAGGCCCAAAATCTTCGACTTTTTGAGAAACCAGCCCCAGAAGTCCAATTAACTATGACTAAGTATGCAGATACTGGATCTTTCAAGTCTAATTTTGTACCATAAAAGAGGCATTAAAGAATTTCATTGTTTTGAAATATTACAGTCAACCACTTACTGTTATTACCGGTACTTTACTGTTGTTTACAGTTGATGTTCCTAGCTACTGTATGGTGCACAAGATGGCAATATTACCAGATCCTCAGACCTGTGCTAAGTATTTTAACTGCTCAGACTATGGTGGAAGTCATATCGAATGCAGATATCCAGATTTGTATTCTACACAAGAGAAAAGATGTGTCAATTTCACCCTGGTTAAATGTGGTTCAAGAACAGAAACACAATCTCCTTGTAAGAATACAGCTAATAATGTTATTAACATATCAATATTAGTAGCTTAATTATATTTATATTAAAAACCTAATTTGAATGACTGACTTTAAGGACATTGGCAAGGCACTGTTTTTCGGAGAGAAAAAAGGTTAAATACAAGGGTTTTTTCACCTGTAAAAAAGTGATTGAGAGTGATCTCCCGTGTAGAATTGGTCAAGACCAATAAAGCGTATGCTACAGAGGTAATAAAACAAAAGCACGTGTGCTTCTTTTAACTGGTAGAATCACCTAAATACAACAAGAAAGAAAAGTAGTAATGGCTTTTTCGTACATTGTGTTCAGGGGATAGTGAGCCAACAGGTCGTCATTTACCGAAAAGGCAAAGAAGTAATATATGCAGCAGCTGAAAGGTAGACCGGCTGAGAACAGTTCTTAGGTCATGTGCAGGAGGCACCATATATAGTGGCTACGTATAAAAAAAAAATAATAAAAAAATAAATCCATGCCAATATTTTTATGACAATTTGTTTCCAATAAAGCAAATGTGAGATAGAAACAGTCAACTAGATGGTAAGGGGAGTAACTCAAAAGTAAAGAACGGTGCCAGTATGTCTGAATCATGTTTCTATATATACATTTTCAGCCAAAATATCTAAATATTATATGAAATGAGGATACAATAATGTATATAATACATACACTATATGAAAAAATGAGTTTTGGAGAAATCTTTTGGTAAAAAATTATGTATGTCCCTTTTATCAACATTTTACATAAGAAATGCATTGAGAATTGTAAAGGCATTGATTTGGCAAAATTTAAAAAGGAAGGTTAGCTTGGAGGGTTAAATGAATCAGAAAATAAGCTGTTTAGTACCATTACACCTGCTCGAGTTCCTGAAAAATTCTATACAATAGTCAGGAACCTTGCCAATGTCCTTAAACAGTGCAATCGGTCATATATATACATGGTAGATAAACATCAGTCTGTAATTGTGCAAGTGTCAAAATGAGTATCAAGCACAAAAGTCACAGGAGAGTCACAATTTAATCCAGTTTCCAACTTTCCTATACGAGTATAGGCTGATTTTAAAAAAAAAAAGGTTTATTATGTTCAGAAAACAGGGCTTAAGCTTACGTGCATATAAAATGTGGTAGTATCCAAGGCCGTCGCCAGATTTCAGGAACTTGGGGTGCAAGGAGGGTCTGTGAGGATTACTCCCTTTGAATTGTCTGAGGCACTTTTTAATTTTTTTTATTCCCCGCCATGAATATGGCCGGGGCATATAGAGTTTGTCATGTTCGTCTTCTGTCCCTCTGTCCTTCCGTCGCGCTCTGCGTTTAGCTCAGTTCATAGCTCATTTTCAAAGAACCTATTCAGATATTTTCATCAGACTTCATATGCTGATTAATATTGAAGAAGTCTACTCAACTGCATCAACATTTTTTTTTACCTTTATCTCAGTTTTCTTAAATTAATGTTTAGCTCAGTTTTAAAGAAACTATTCAAGGTAGTGTAGTCAAATTTCATATTCTGATAGATGCTGATGAAAGCTATTCAACTGCAAAACATTTTTGATCTTGACCTTTCCTTTGACCTTAACGTCACGTGTCTTAAATTAGTGTTTAGCTCAGTTTTATTGTTTGTTTGTTTGTGTATTGTTTAACGTCCCTCTCGAGAATTTTTCACTCATATGGAGACGCCACCACTTGCCGGTGGAGAGCTGCAAATCCTTACCTATACTCGGCACTCAGGGCCATTGAGCAGTGAGGAACCTTTTTCGTGCTAGCATCTACTCCGACACGGGACCTCGGTTTATACGGTCTCATCCGAAGGACCGGTCCCCACGTCCCAAGTGGGATTCGAACCCGCGACGTAAGGATCCACTCCTTACTCCTCGACTCTAGAGCGGACGATCTACCACTGCGCCACACGGGCGACAGTTCAGTTTCAAGGAAACTGTTCCAGATAATGTACTCAAACTTCATATGCTGATACATACTGAAGGAAGCTTTTCAAATGCATCAACATTTTTGACTTTGACCTTTACCCTCTTTTCTTAAATTAGTGTTTTGTTCAGTTGTAAATAAAAAGATATTTTTTTTTTATTAAAATTCATATGCTGATACATACTGATGAGAACTATCAACTGCTTTAAATTTCTTTTTTGACCTTGACTTTTCCTTTGACTTTGACCTCTCTTTTCTTAATAAGTGTTTAGCTCAGTTTTAAATAAACCATTAAAGGGTTTTTATCACGTATCTACATTTCTTAAAAATGAAACACTATTACATTCTTGAAACATATAATTATCGTTTAATTATGAAATTATGTTGAAAACGGTCGTAATTAGACGATAAAACGCCCGTAATATAGGGTCCTCGAAGTAAAAATCTCCACTAATGAGATAGGGGTCACGTGGTACTGAAACGTCATAGGTGTCAATAGTCAATAGAATTCGTAAAGCTTACCGTAAGAAAAAATATATTGAATAGATTTTACGCTAAATAAATAAAATATGGCCGGTTGAAATTTTGACATCGACTATATTATTTTGGTTATGGACGGTCAATCTTTCACGTATGAACGTCTAGCAGAGAGAAATAACCAGAAAATATGCCTACAATAGGAGAGGGCACCGAAAACGAAGCCGCTGACAACTCGGGACTTCGACGAGATAGAACGAATTACTTAAGTTTAACTTCGTAAACAATTATAGATATGGGAATTTTAAATTCTCCTTCTTCTTTATTTTAATTAATTATATATGAATAAATCCTGTATATCTTCTATCTGTTCCAGCAGTGAATATCATGTACTAGAAATGACACTTCTTTAATGGCGCCGACCGCCATTACGAAGTTCACATCATTCCTACTAGATTCTGAGCGACTTTTAAAAAATGCGTGTTTGTCATTTATTATTATTTTTTTTAAGTATCTTTCCTTAAAATATTTTATAGGACAGAAAAAATTCGTGATCGATAGGGCATACGCGATTGTTCTGAACAGAAATACTGTAAACGCCATCGCATTTGCAGAAAAGTGCCCCCCTTTCATCTCTCGACCAACTCCAGGAAAATGTGGGGGAAATAAATCTTCCTAAAACCTTCCTTGTGCACCTTTGCGCATCCTAAAGCCATAAATTATACCTTACTAACTGTCAATTATCCAATTATCTCTTAATTATTTTCTAACAGGTTTAATAGACACAACAAATGATCCCTTTTGTATACACAATAAGTACTTCGATTGACACCTATGACGTCAGAGCAATGGCGCGTAACATCGGCGATCAAAATATGCACACTGAGAAATTCAAACTTTGAGTCGTTGAAACATCAAAAATATTAATTTTCTAGCAAAGACTTTTAACTATATGATTTTATTAGCATGTAAACTTTGTCACATCAAAAAATTTTGAGACGTGATAAAAACCCTTTAAGGATAATCTTATCAAACTTCATATTCTGATACATACTAATGTTAGCTATTCAACTGCATCAACATTTTTTGAATTTGATCTTTCCTTTGACCACGACCTCACTTTTCTTAAATTACCATTTAGCTCAGCTTTAAATCAACATATTCAATATATTTTAGCAAACTACGTATGCTGATAAATACTGATGAGAGCTATCAATAGCATCAACATTTTTTTTTACTTTGACCTTGACCTCAGTTATTTAAATTAGTGTTTAGCTCAGTTTTAAATAAACTATTCAAGATATTTTTGTCAAACTGCATAAATTTTCATGTTGCTTACTCATATACACTCGGCGGGGCGTTCATGTCCTATGGACAATGGGTACTTCCATATTGTGGGTTTTATGCATTTTTAAAGAAATTTTATCACATATTAACATGCATTCTCTTTCAGCACAACATATTTTTATTCAATAAATGACACAATATTGAGGATGGACTCTCATTTTTTTCATAAAAATAACTGTTTAAAAAAATTCTTCAAATTAAAGAAAGGTTTTACGCGAGTTAAAAGTTTCATAGAATAAGTATTTACAAAATATACTGCTCTTTAGAATATGTCATTAGCAAGAGCAGTTGGTCAATTAATTATTTACACAATATTGAGAATGAACTCTCATTTCTTTTCATTGTCTAAAGAAATTTGCTGTGAGTTACCGAGAATTTCAGATTCTTGCACTATATCAGACATAATGGATGGAAAAGTTGCAGACTAACTAATATAAAACATAATGTGATTCATGAGTACTAGTTACGATTATGTTATATTTTTATTTGCTCTACTCAAACAAATGTAAAACTTATATGAAATAAACACAAACTCGTGAAGTAGGATGTGAAGTGCTAAGAAAGAACAGTTTGATTATTCATAAAATTATAAAACATATCGTTGTCTTTTTATAATAATCCCCATACATGTCTCTCAAAAACAGAAAATAATAATTAGAAAAATACTACAATGTACATGATAAATATAGCAATATGGGCAGGTGGGTAGGACTATAAGAATGTACGAAACAGTGCCTTAGAAAAGTTTACCCAGTACAAAATTTCTTTTACGGTCACTTAACGCCCGTGCTATGAATATCAATCTCACATGTCTAGGTAAGGTGACATTTCTAAATAATGGATAAATAACGAGATGATGTTAAATAGTTTAGAGAATACATTCTCTCCGAGGGTCGAAGGCCCAAGGAGGGGATGTTTTCTCTAAACTATCCAACACTATCGAGTTATTTATCTCACTTTAAAAAACTTCCCCACTTTGGACCCCAAAGAAACATTTACCCATTCATATATCCAACTTCGTTGTAATACCATGGAATTTAGCCCATTTAGATATCCAACAGTGACACAATACAATAGCCTAATCGAACACCCATTTTATTCATGGACTAGTGAGCAAGAAACTGCATGGTGCTAATGTCATTTCAAACATTTTATGTTTCCACTGTTCTGAGCAGTCATGAAATCAGATGAAGAACAGTTTTAAAACCAAAGTAAATTAGAGAGGTCCAGATAGTGTTTTGAATA